AATCATGATATGCTTGTAAAGGCAGGGCATAAAATTGGAAAAAGTGCTTCTCCTACATGTTTCATTTCGCTTTGAGTAATTATTGAGGTAGAGTGCCTGATAAGGGTAGGCAAAGGTTGAATTGTGCTCCAGATGCTTAGAGAGCAATGATGATATGGTCTAGTTAATTGATATTACCCTTGAGGGGGAGTAAAAATACACCACAGAATTTGTAGAGATTTACAAACTTTTTCATAGCCATTTAGATCTCCTTAAGGATATTAATTCTTAATTTTGATGGTTGGGTTTTGATACCACTTGTTAGTCCCAATGGAGTGCTAGAAAAAGGTGCATAATACTAAAAATTTTAAAGGCAACTTTTTGTGTTTGAAGAGCTCTTTATAAGATAAGATAGAGGGTTTAAAACTTGTTAAGGTTAAATGACACCAAGTAAGGAAAAGTTAAGAGAAATGGGTAAAACACAAGTATTTATAATGGTTTATCCCCTTAACCTACATCTACAACTTTGATCTCCCGATCAAAGATTTTCAACTCAACTTTACTAAACTAATGGAATTAATAACTTCCACCAAGCTTTTACAAGGTGAGATTTTAAGCCAAGCTTTAATCCTATACAATAAATCTTAAAGTGTTTTCCACACTCTAATCAACTAAGAAATAAGAAGAAAAAGGAAAACGCATGATCATGTTTGCTGATTTAAGATGAATGCAATCAAGGTTAAACACTTTTACAAGAATAGGAATGAAAAACAAGAGTGTCAGAGAAGGTTCTTTGGCTATTTTGCTCAAAAATGATCTTGGTGGCTTCTTTCTTACTTATTTGATCATTAGGGCTTCCTTTTATATTTAGAGACTCAGATTTTCTATTAAAGATAATTTCTTGTTGTTGTGAGCAAATCCGAGGCCTTTCTAGACGTTATTTGTCTTTTTAACATTTAAATTCAAATGGATAGATAGTGTTCCGTTAATTGATTAAAGGCAGGCTTTAACCTGTTAATCTTTTTTGACTTGCACTATCTGGTAGCTCTATTTACTATGTTAACTGGTTAAAGGAAACTTTAATCGATTAAAAACATTTTACTTTCAAACTTCTCCAACTATCAGTCTTCCTTTAATTAGTTAGTTCTTCCTTTAACTAATTGAGGCTTCTTTCCTTTTAATTTTAACTAGTTGAAATAGACGTTAACTAATTAAAATATCTTTAAATTTGAAATCTCTCATTTAGCACTTTTTCAAAGGTCAACTACATTTTAAATTTGCATTTTGGCGCTTTTAAGTACTTCAAGTCTTGTGCTTCAACCAATTAATTTTATTTCTTAACCAACTAACACCCCTCTATCTTTAGCTTTCTAGCACCTTCTTAATCAATTAAGCCTAATGCTAACTGATTAAGGCTTTTCTGCCTTATTTTTATATAGCGCCTAGCTTTGCCTTAACTGGTTAAGGCTCCATGTTAATCAATTAATGATGTTCTATTTTCACTCAACCTTTTCTTCTTTCCCTCTTTAACTGATTAACTCTTCCTCTAAGTTAACAAACTTTTTGACTTACCTTTAACCATCAAATTTATTGAGAGAATTAAACTTTATCCAGCACTCTTAACTAGTGAAGTTAGGCATCGATGAATAAGAAATGTTATATTATCATAAAAAAACATATGGAATCAACAGAACAAGTCGGCTATGTCTAATATTAGTTGAACTTGTTGTACCAACGAGAATAGTGGCAAATTGTGAAAAAGATGGCATGCACTTAGAAAAATGGTAGATGTCATCCTTATTCAAACCTTTCAAAAGTATTGCCCCTGTGCTTAAGTCCTTTATTAAAAAATGTCAAGGAAAGAATTCTATGGAAATATTATTAGTTTTGCATACTATGGAGATAGACATCAAGTTATTGTTTTTATATGGAACATGTAGGACATTGGTTAAATAAAGTGATTTGTTGTTGGAATGAATAAACAAAGGAACATATATGCTTGATGGGGAAACTTGTTCCATCCCCCACAATAATTTCATTAGGTCCTCCATATTCGGTATACAAGGAAAGATTGTTCAAATTAAGGGAGACATGGGGGGAAGCTCCTAAATCTATAATCTAACCTTGATCAGTAGCTAACTTGGATGAGGTTATGATGTTTGCAATTGGTTTTTTGAAGGCTTTCCTCATTTTTCTACATGGTGTTTATGTATGCCCTTTTCTCACAAATTTGGCATATTGGTTTGGTAGTGTTATTCTCATGTGAAATAAATTTTTGTCATTGCAAATTAAAGTTACCTCTAATTAAGTAATTGCCTTTAGAGTTACCTTATCTTGATTGAACTGAAAATTTAGTTCGCCTGACATGATTAACGGTTGTAGCATGGATGGAAAGAGCTTCATCTTACTTGATTACATTTTCAAAATAAATGAGCTTGTCATGAGACTCTTCAAATGAAATGGTCGATTCCTATGCTCTAATGGCAATTGAGATCTCCTTGTAGGCTGCTCCCAAGCTACTTAAAATGGATATAACATGGTCATCATATACCACTAGTGCTTGTGACGGTGGTAGTTCATTTAGAATTCCTTTCATATATTATAGGTACTCAACAATTGTTTTGCCATATTGAGAAAAAACAATAAGTTTCTTTTTGATAGACATAATTGTCAACCTTGTTTGCTACATGTTTGAGAGTTTTTGTCGTGCCTCTTGAGAGATTTTGACAATGACTATGAGTGGCAAAATTGATTCTGAACATGAGGCTACAATGACATTAAGGATGAATTGATCTTGTCGATATCAATGGTGATAGGCTGTATTTAGAGTGGATGTACCATTTGTTGTTATCATGGGGTTAAGGCAAGGTGTTGCTCCATTTAGATATCTTGTGAGATCGTAACTAACAATGAGTTAATTAAATTGCAATTGCTAAAAAAAGACAATTGATATTATTGAGTTTCAAAGGTAGTTAGGTTGCACCCTTGGTGGATATTAACATTGTTAGAGGAAGGGGTGGTGGTTGTTGATTTAGTGGAGGTGGCCATTGAAGTAAAGTTAGGATTGGAAGGCTATTATGCTTAACAAAACTCTCATACCATGATACCATGTAAAAGCAGGGAATGACAAAAGTAAAGAATAACGGAAAATAAACTTGCAAAAAACTTACTTGTCTATTGATGTGGTATGTACATGTATTTATACTAGATAAAACATAAACTGAATAAACTAATTTATATTTTGAATAAGAAATAGTGATGATCATTAGTTGATAAACTATTATTTAAATCTTAAACAAATTCAATAGATAATCTAATATGATAAGCTTGGTTTTGAATCTTGAGCTTGAAGTGGATTGTTTGCTTTATCTTTTTTATTATCCTTTATATATGCATAATAATAATAGTTAAAACTATTTTTGTCTAAATATGAAATTTATGTATAAATAATATTTTTGATGAAAATTCTAATACATCGCATTTAACATTATAATATATTGAAATAAATGTAATGAATTATGACATTATATTTAAATGTTAATATAATACATAATATACATAATTTTATTTATATATTAATGTTAACATTAAATAAATATTTAATGTTAACATTAATATATAAGGTCAATATAGATAATATATACCATTGATATGCTTGTTATATTGACATTAAAATATCATGTTAATGTTATGTAAATTAACATCAATGTTAATCTTATATATATTAACTTTAAATTTCAATGTTATTTACAATTTTTTTGAAAAAACTATAATTTCATTAACATGAGAAACACTCTCCCAAAAGAAAACATGGGAGGGTTTAAGCCCATATGCTCGAACACTTGCAGTATACTGACTTAAAAACCTCTACTTTGTATATACAAAAGATGCTAACAATATATCCACCAAACGCAAACCAATCCAAGCTGATAATCAGCCAACCCGCGTGGATTCGCTTTACAAAAAGGTATTTTTGCAGTGAATTTGAGAAAAAGACTTTGCACTCAGCAATATAATGGAAGTATTAACATTTTTATTATGAAACATTGGTGGATATTTTTGCAACTTACACTTGACAATCTTATTCTAAGACCCATCACACTTGAAAGTAATTTTTACTATTTTCAATGTGTTTGTTGTTTATTTTCTAGTATAAAAATACCAAAAACGTTTTTATTGTTTAGTCTTTCAAGGTTTGTACATGTCAATCCGTTATGAGCCCTTTTTATTGCCTTACTTATCATTGGGTCGTAGATAAGGCGGATCCAAAAACTTTTTTAGTAGTATCATAGTTAATGTGAAGTTTTCCTAAATAAGTTGTTTTGAGAGAGTCAAAAAATATAATCAAGGATCGAGAAGAAGAAGTGTCACTATGGATGGAGAATAATTTAAGTTTTGATTTTTTTTAATAAAATTTTAAATTATAAAAAAAATTATTTTATCTTTCCATGTAGTATTTAGATATTAATAAATAGATTTTTTTTTTTAATAAATTTACTTTGATTTGGAGGCTTTGACCTCACTCTTTATAAAATTACATAAAAAATAATAAGTTCATTAATGTCATTAACTAAATAAAACTCTATTATAAGTAATATAACAAAAAATTTATTTTTTACATTTCAATAAATGAAGAATATCACATGACACTACTCTCCATGTAGATCTGCCCATGGTTGCAAACACCTCCAACTTTACGAGAATATTTCATTTCAGCATTTTTTACAATACTTTATTTTATCATAATAAAAATTGTATAATATGAACTTCGTATAATATCTTAATAAATCTTACCTAATTTTTAAAAGTATGCGCCCAGCTTTTTTGCCATGTGAGTAATGTTTTCATCAACGACAAAGATTTAATGTTGTAGGATCTGACGGCTTCAAAAGCATCATGCATCGGTCACGTAACGATTAAGACAGTGAATGTCCAACGTTATAAATTTTTCGCTTGCGTCCTCTGCTACTGCCAGTCCAAACCATAAAGTTGCATAGTCTAAAGATTTTCAGGGAGAAAGCATGGCAGACAAATGGAAGCAGACGGCTCTCATAGTAATTGGCATGCAGGTCCTTTCTTTCTTCATCATCTTTTCTTGGATTTATTTAGATTTTTTCTTTGTTTGGAAAATTGGGTATTGTGTCTTTTTGCAGAAAGATTATATTTTAGAGGATAAAATAATGAGAGTGAAAGGAGGCAAAGCCATAGTCCCTAATGTCATAAAGGCTGTTGAAATCGCCAAGCAGCGTGGCATTCTCGTCGTGTGGGTAGATTTTCTAGCCTTTTTCTTCTTACTAGTGCTTCACTTTCTCTTTTAGTTGTATCTATTCTCTTCTCTTTGGAAGCGTCTACTAGGATGTTCAATTTATCAAGAAAATGAAAAACGAATTAAGTTTTTGATGTAAATTGTTTTTCTTATTCAACTTCGTTTTTCATTCTCCAGACAGCTTCTTTGGATAAGATTTTTTTTTTGGATAATGGGATTTGTTTGTTTTGGCTAAAGCTATTTCCAGGGAATCTCTTAGAGCAAGTTAATAGAACATTTGATCAATCTTCTAAAGTTTGATGATGGAAGCTCTTTTCCATCCTGAAACTACTTTTGAGAAATGGAGAATAGAAAATTTTGAAACTATTTTCCTTTTTTTTTTTTGGAAATAACTCTAAAAGGTGTTGATATTTTAGAAAATTGATCCTGCCTCCTGGAAATAGAAAAATTGCTTTAATTAACTGGTCACTACTCGTTATAAATAACATATCAAAGTACCTTATGTAGGCTTATCCAGAATAAAGTTGGCATTTTGAAATTTGGTGGTGATTTAGTTATGGATGATATTGACAAAGGGTTTGTTCAGTTGTTTGTAAATTGGACATGATTGTGAAAAACTTTTGGGTATTAGATTGTTCGTGAACATGACTATTTTGGAAGAGATGTTGAACTCTTTCGTCGGTACTTTTACTCTCCTGAGAAGGGTGGTCCAGCCACAAAGGGAAGTGTAGGTGCAGAAATGGTGGATGGCCTTATGATAAAAGAAGAAGATTACAAGTTGGTGAAGACTCGTTTCAGTGCATTCTTTAATACCAATCTCCATGGATTCCTTCAGAGTAATGGGGTCAATAATCTAGTGGTTGTTGGTATGGACAACTCAAGACTTGTAAACTTGTGAATATAAGTGGTTTTGTGAGAGCCATTTGTTTCTTTAATTTTGTGGCATTTAGCTTTCAAAGAGTTGTTGTGCATTAAGATTTTAATAGTCGTTAATCTCTATGTCTAGGTGTTCAAACTCCAAATTGCATTAGACACACTGTCTTTGATGCAGTAGCATATGATGACCAATCTGTTGCTGTTATTGTTGATGCCACAGCTGCTGCTACGCCTGAGGTACATGATGGTATGTAGTTCTTAACCACTTGAATCTTAATTACAATGTCTTTTGGGAACTGCTATGTTATGCTTTGAAATTTGACTTCTACCTATATAAATGATTAATCCATACAGCATTTTCATGTTTACTTTTCATGCATATAATCCAAAACACCTGCTTTGTGCTGGTAGCAATATGTGAATGCCTGCATGCCATTTTCGTTGGTATTATCTTCATCCAAGTTTTAGAGATAAAGATAAAGACAACAAATTTCATACTTCCTCCAAAATATTTTTATGTGGAGATTATGGTATGTCAAACAAGGAAATTCTAGGTGAATGAAACTAAAAGGTTAAGTTGATTGTATTGTTTGCTTCATCTTTTTGTGGGCTATAAGCCAATGAAAATTTTCATCTTATCTTAAACTTATAAACTCAGGGGGCGCTCAATAAGCCCAAAGGTCTAAAGTTAAATATTTACATAAAGTCTTTTTTATTTAAATTAAGAAAAAGAAATTTATTAAAATTTTTAACTAAATTTCTAATTCAATAAATTAACTATCATATAAAATAAAGATAATATAATAAAATAATATAAACTCTAAATTAAAGTAAAAATGTTTACAAAGATTAGAATAATTGTACTTAATTGTTGAATGGTTATTGCAAATAGCAAATAAGACTTACGGTTTTATGAAAATAATAGCATAATAGGCTTCTTGCATTTTCTTTAGAGGAAAATTGAAGTTAAAAGAAGAAAGAGTAACTGAGGAAAGAACAATTCAAAAGTGGATATTATAGATTGAAAAATAATAATTACTTTTATATATAAAAAATAGCTATTAGAAATAATTAAACATGGTAATTGATTGGAAATAGAAGAAATAGTTAAAAAAAAAAAGAATAGTTGGAGATCATTAAATACATATTAATGTTAGTTGATTGGAATAGCAAAAATAATTGATAATTAATGGTATTGTAGGAATTAAGAAATGATAAAAAATTTAGATTTATTAAGCATATAATTAGAAAAATGGAAGAATATGTTATATTATTAATTATCTTGACTTTTTTATGGAAAAATGAGTCAAATAGTTGAGAATTAATAAGAACATGAAAGACGAATAAAATAGATATTTATTAAGCTTAAAAGAATAGATAGATATGTTATTAATTATCTTGATTTTTGCATATTTTTAATACAATTAATTATATTATTATTATTATAAAATTATAGACTTATAAAAATTTGAGGCCTAAAGCCACGGTTTTGGTGGGTTTACCCTGGAACCGACACTGTATCAACTTCTATAGAGGTAGTATCAGAAAATGGTAGAGATGAGCAGGTGATAGACTATCTAGGAGATTATTCAAGTACATGTACGAAATGAGCAGGCATATAATTAAATGAGAATGTGAATGTAGTTATATGTGCAATATGCGGGTCAACAAGTTAAGAGTTGGCGATTGTTTTGGATGTCTTGCTTAAGGTTGTGTAGAAGTGGTTCTTCTAATAAAGGGTGAAGTAGTGTTGCAAACAAGTAAAACAAACATGTACTAAGAGAGGCAAAGAGAGAATGGGGTGGACCTAAAGTACTGAATACTGTGGTAGGCGGTGGAACTATATAGAGGGAATAGGAAGTAGGGAATTAGGAAGAAATAAGGGAAGAGAGGGATGTAGAAGTGAACATTGAGGGAAGAAGGAGTGTAAAAAGGGAACTTAGAGAGGGAATGTGTGAACTTCCAAAAGCCCCCAAATAAGTTGCCAAAACTCCATATATACATAGGCAAGGGGGTGTCGTTAATGCGACCAATAAAAAGATGCCAAGTGGCTGAGCGTTAAAGCCTTATCGAGTTGGTGTAAGGTCAGTAGTGGTTATTCTAAGTTCTGTGACAGCAGAATTGAAGTGTGTCATTAGGGGAAGGGAAACACTCCTGCAATTCAAGAAAACATTAAGAGGAAGATCTCTTTAACTATTTTCATGTCAGAGGTATTAAACCAAAGTTTCTAGAACATATCAAGAGTGGAATTAATTAAAGAACCTTGTCACTGGTTTCGAGGTTTCTTCCATTGCCTCCTAACATAAAGTAATTTTGTCACTCATTCCAAGTTAGTTTTGCTACTTAATGTAGTAATGTAACTTGGTTATTTGTTTTTTGATTACTTTCACTGTTGTTTGTGGTAATGTTATCCCCTGTAAGACAACATTACTGATATTGCAGAGATAACATGTTTGTAGCCAAAATCAATTATCTATAGGGTGCAAGAGATTAGAGGTTGTTAGGTAAGGTATTTCCTTAAGTTGTTGGAAGAGGAATGCAATTCAAAGCATAATAAGAGCCTTAGAACCTTTGGAATTTGCTACTTAAGACTGGTGTAAGAGTCAGCTAACTTTGCCGAACATAATTCATGAAGGACGACTTAAAAATTTGGGTAGAAGGGGCAAAAGTCAATTCTTTGTCATTTCAAATTTAAAGAGTTATAAGCATCTTGGTGAGATTGGGATAATGATATTGAATGTAAAACTAATACAAAAGATTGCTAAGTGGGGAAACATTTGCACTCACCTTATGAGAAAAAGAGGGTAGAGAGAAGGCAGGGAAATGAAGCAGACAGTGTTCAGGGGGAGCAGGGAGGGCTGAATGGAGGAAAAATGTTTCAAAATTCTATTTTTTTCATTCTCTTATTTGTCTCGCTTAAGAAACTTTAAAAGACAATTCTTTTGTTCTTTGTCTTGTATCTATTGACATATTAAAGAATTTACTTCAGATTTTCGCTTTTATCCTTGAGAGAGAAAAATAAGAATATTTTTTCTGCAAATGGCATTTATACTGATAAAGAGCTTTAAATTATGTGAACCAGCCAATATCTTTGGCATGAAAAATATTGGAGTTGTGACACCAACACTGCAGGAGTGGTGCGAAACCCATGCTTGATCCATCAAATGATTGAACTGGGATGCATTCTACCAGGTGGCTTTTCCTTTCTCTAGTAGACTACATGCATTCTGTCTCTATAAATCTGTGTTGGTCTTAATGTGTATGTTTTGTGTGAGTGAGAGTCATCACTGTACTTATTTTTATGTTATTAGATTGAAGAAGAGAGGGTCACTAATAAGGCTTGCTAGTTTTCTTAACTGGATCCATTCAGGGAAATGCTCATGACTGAATCTTTCCAATTTACGTTTTAAAAGCTTTTTACTTTGGGTACATGTGGATTCTCTCTTCAATAGAATAGATAAGCAATTCTGATGTATTGTGAAGATACCCCGGAAATGGGATTGAGTTTAGGTTTGCTTAAATGATTTGGGTTCGATATTGTGAGGCTCCAACTCTGCCTATTTAAATTGGACCGCAAGTGTATTGAATGATCAGCTCGATCTAGTGACCCGTAGTTGAAGCCCAAACATAATAAAAAAAAAAACTTGGATCACAGAAAATTTTGATCATAAACTTGGTGTTGCACCCAATAAAAGCGAAGCAAAAAAAAAAAAAACCCCAATTGGTTTTGAGCCTGTCTAAATTGGTTTGCAACACAAGAATGTATGAAGATATTCTTTGTTTTCTCAAGATATTTTCAGTTTCGATTTCTGCTTTTTTTTTTCTTTATGCTTTACTCAAATAAGAAAACTGAAATCTCGTAACCCGAATTGTAGGATCACGCATTCAACTATTCAAGCTAAATGCCACTCAATCATTGGATTTAAAAACGTTTCAGATTGGTTTGGTTAATTTGAGCATGGTGAGCTTTGAATTTATAATCACTATAGTCTATAGATAAGCTTTTAGTTTCTCTATCCCTTCTTTTATTCTATATTTGCGCATAAACGTTTATTCCAACCAAAGTGAATGCAGACAGTACCTTAGGGGACCTTTCTAAATGTTCAGACTCGAGACTTTGGATTAAAAGATGAGAAATAGTACTCCCAATAGCTAGAGCCTGAGATTTTCAATTTGAAAATAAGTTCAACATAAATGAGAATATGGATCACGATGATCCAAGAGGATGACCTTAACTTCGGTTGAATGATGAATTCTGATGAATGAGGTCTAGGGTGTCTTAAAAACCCGCTAAAACTCAATCACCAACATGCCTACTTGTCTTAAGCCTGGTCATGGAAAAAGAACCAGCTTTAATGCATCCCGGAGCACGTGCGATACAGCTCCATATTTTTGTCCATTCTAACACCATCAAGTGTAGCAAATGGAAGCATGATTTAACGTTGGTTTCAAATTTTGTTTTTGACTAAAGAAAAACCATACCTAAAACCCAACGAAACCAAGGGTCCTACCTTGAGTCAGAAATTGATCGGCACTGATCAATTATCCGGTGAGAAATCTGGGTTTGTAGACCATTTAAGCATTTTTTTTTCTAGGGCAAGCATTTTTCCATTTATATAATGTTTGAGATCAAATCTCAAGCTTTCGTACAGGAAAAAAATATAAAAAATTTTGTAACTGTGTCTTATCCTTTCCTCTTTTCTTTGGGCTTCACCTTTCACTTGAGCGTTTGGTTAAAAGACAGTCAAGTAATGGAGCTTCAAGTGTTTGATTTAAAGTGGTGATGGATCTATTAATTAAGTAATGCTGATGCTAATGCTCATCCTGTAGGATCTAGGATTTTGTATAAGGAGTAGCTAAAGAGAAGAAGGTTCTGTTGCAATCGTGTGTGTAACATTGGAGGCCAAGTGATTGGTTGGCTAGGATTCTTTCAAGTTTGAAAGGGTTCACAGTTTTTCGACACCAAAAAAGAGCGATTTGATTACAAGTTCTCTTGACAAGCTAAATTTCTGAATTTTAATTAATTTTATGCTTTTATGTATTAAATATCACTAAGGTGATCCATGGAAAGAGGCATGTTTTGATTGTGTAACAAAATTTTAATTCTTTTTCAACTATGCATATTTTGATCATGTCATCCATACATAAATCCAACAGTGGTATTGAAGCCTTCCTTTGGTTCAATTTTAACATACTTTATGTCCAATTGTTGTTAATGCCTTGTTGAAAAGGAATTTGAGTTGTTCGGTTTTTGTTTAACAGAAAGTAGTAAGTTTTAAAGTTTTACAATTTTTTTAGTTATTTTGATTTCTAGACATATTTTAATTGTAAATTTTAAATCTTATTTATCATAATATTAATCTGATTTTAATGTCAAAATATTGTAGATTAACAAGTGCATTGGATGCATAAATTAATTTAGCAAAAAAATCAAATTTCATTATATTATGGTGCAATTTCAATGGCAGAATCGGATTTTGTCTAATCATGGTATGGGCCCATTTTAAGCCATAAAAATTGAAGTTTAAAGGCCTTATAAAATGCTGGAAATTTAAGGAATCAATATACATTAGAAATGTTCCAAGAAAAGTTGATGATCAACAATTGATGGTGATGGAAAAGCCACCAAAATGTAGCTGAAATTGCTACTGTTTATAACAATCTCAATCACGATTTTGGTTAGCATGGCAACCAAGAATATGTCACAATTTTTCTAATATACACTTCTTACCCGAAATGATAAATATAATGCGGAGTGAAGATATTCAATATCTCTTTCATTCTATGATTCAATATGATATCCATTCAAACAAATATCTTTAAAACTTAACAAATTTTTTTGAAACTTAATAGAAAATAATGCTTCCTTGATTATAACTCTTGTTCCTTTGGGTAGTAAAATATTGACTCTTCTAGAGCCTTTTGATTAATCTTCTACTATCATATATTATATTAATATTGACTTCTTCCAATTTTAAATGAAAAAAATATTTCTTGTCTTTAAAAATAGTATGTATTGTAGCACTGTCTATTAGACATATATCTTCATCATTGATCTTACATTTAATGAGAGGAATATCCATATTTTCTTCAATAAAGTAAGATATATAATAAGAAATTTGCAAGTTAACATAAAAGAACATTATATATAAAATTTAATACATAAATATATCATTTACATGTAATGAGAACATAAAGAAATACATTTTCCTAATAGAGTAATATTAAAACATATTAACAAACTAATTAATAAATTTCATTATAGGACATTTCCATCACCAATCAAATGATCAATTCATCTTCCAAGGAAGATAAAAAAATCAACAACATCTAGATGTGTCACATCAACTTGGCCATGGTTAACATCATTTTTCAACAAAGTTTATTTTGATATTTTTTCCTTTATCTTTCAATAATGCTTGATAAAGTTTAACAAGATCTTTCAATATACGACAAGTACGGAACCAATGACCTTTCATGCCACATCAATGACAAACGGTATCTATATTTTTTTATTTCATCTATTTTTGTCCTTTTCTTGTATCTCCCCACTATTCATCTACTACTGATGGTTAAAGGCATTCATGCTGTTAAAATAGTGATTATTAGGATTACTATGTTTATAATAATTATGGCGACCTTTTTCACATCCACATCCATGATTACAATTATGACCACGACCACAACTATAATTATAAAAGGATGTTGTATTCCATTCAAGGAATGGAGCAAAACCAGTTAACTGAGATTCATGACTTTTCATAAGGAGCTCGTTATTTTACTTAGCCACAAGAAGACATGAAATTAGTTCAAAATATTTCTTAAAGCTTGTTTCATGGTATTGCTGTTGCAAAAGCACATCAGAGGTGTGAAAGTAGAAAATGTTTTTTCTAACATATCTTCATCAGTAATATTTTCTCCACACAATTTTAACTAAGAACTAACACTAAATATTACTGAGTTACACTCGCTTTCGAATTTAAAATCTTGCAATCATAACACGCTTTTAGAAAAATTAGATCATATCTATCTTTTAGACTTTTCCAAAGATCAATATGATTTTTTATTGTGAGATACTCAGTTTTTAATCCTTCATTAAGATGGTGATGAAGGAAAATCATTACTTTTGCCTTATCCTAATTGGACGTTTCATTTTCATTTTTGATTGCATTTCCAAAGCCCTTAGTATCTAAATGAACTTCAACATCAAGAATCTAAGATAGATAATTCTCACTAGTAATATCAATGGCCACAAATTCAAGCTTTATAAAATTTGACATGGTGAAAACTATTAAAATAGATAAAAATAAAATAAGGTTATCAACAAGCAAAAATAAAAATCGACTAATAATAAAATTAAAAATAAGAAATTGACTAATTATAAATTGAAAGTATGAGTAAAGAAATAAAGCAACAATTGAATTTAAAAGGAAAATTACTTGAAAGAATGTAGCTTTTTAACTTTGAGATCATGATGAAAACTGAACATTATCAAAACTAAAAGCTTAGAGGGTCATACTGGTAACGTATTTTTAAATATAATTTTGAAAGAACAATATTAGAGAGAAATGGTAAGAAGGTAAGAAAATCTTCTATTTTCTTTTTTTTTTTCAAGCGTATCTACCATCAACTATAACGCCTCTATATTTATTGGCTTACACAGATGGGCGGGGAATGAATTTGTATAAATAGAGAGAATGAACTTAATAGATAGGAATGTATATATACTAAATGTATCTACTAGATAGGGATGTACTTACATAAAAATGTATGTTGGATATGATGAGGTACATTAAATATGAGGAGATACATTAGATATGATCAAATACAATGGATATTCACATTTATTTGAAACAAAAATTTCATTTTGCACCAATATTTTCTTATATTTTATGATATTAATCATACTAGTATGTAGGGGCAAGTAAATTGATTAAGTAGGTTAAATCGATCAAAAAATTCAATTAATTGGCTTAACTAACTTTTTATAGAATTTTAACTGATTGATTGATTTTTTTTAATTGACTTTCTCATTAATTGAATTTTCTCATGGATCCCCCTCTTTGTTTTCGTTTATATATTTATTTATTTTATTTTTATTATATATATTGTTGTCGAATTTGTATAATTTAGTCAAATTTTATAAAATATTGTAAACCAAGTAAAAGTGTCAACT